AATGGAGTCTTGATAGAGATTGCAGCAAGACAATAAAGAGATATTCTATGTTTCTTCCACCACATTCTCAGTTTTGACTTTTTTTTTCTCAAATATTTCTCATGTCTCATTTGTGTCTAATTCCATTTCTCCTAAGGAATTTTAGGAGAAACATCTGAAATGCTGTTGATACTAAAATGAGAGATATATGAGAATCTCATCTAAGTCTCCTGAGCTTAGGAAAAGCAACCACTAAGCAATACATTTTTCCTATGGGTGGTCTCATTCTGTTTGTAAGACTGTATGCTACAAAACCATGTTGCTTTTTACTACCGTGACGAAGTTATTCCATAACCGAAACAATAACTCTCCCGGAAGAAATTAGACGTAAACAAAGGAATTACCATCCATATTACAACGTTATTGTTTCGTTGGACTAAAAGTGCTCTATGGGAAGTTGTTCAGTGGACCCTTACCTTTCTAACTAAACTGGGATTTACAGCTGTGGATGCATTTATGACTCATTATTATGATGAATCTGGTATGTACTGCATTTTGATTATGCATGTTTTGATGTGTACTGCTTACACAGATTTAGCAAATACATTCCTTATAAGCTTTCCATTGAAAAACAGCGATCTATCGTTGATGCTTGAGGCTTAGACCTTTATAATGATACAGTATATAGTTTGTAAAGATTAATGTTGTCCCGTTTCATTTAATCTATTCGTAAACACTGACATGTGCAAACAAAGAGCGTTCAGTGCACTGGCGTCCAGGTACGGGTTAACAGGTTAAGGTCATGTCACAGCATCTCAATTGGATTTAAGCCCGGACATTGACTTGGCCACTCCAAAACCTTAATTTAGTTTTTCTTGAGCTATTCAGAGGTGAACATGCTAGTGTGGTTGGGATCATTGTCCTGCTGCATAACCTAAGTGCGCTTGAGCTTGAGGTCACCAACTGACGATCGTACATTCTCCTTCAGGATTTTCTGATAGAGTGCAGAATTCATGGTTCCAGGTCGTCGTCCAGGTCCTGAAGCAACAAAGCAGTCCAGACCATCACACTACCACCACCATGTTTGACTGTTGGTATGATGTTCTTTTTATGAAATCCTGTGATGGTTTTATGCCAGATGTAACGGGACACACACCTTCCAAAAAGTTCAACTTTTGTTTCATCAGTCCAGAGAATATTTGCCCAAAAGTCTTCGGGATAATCAAGATATTTTTTGGCAAATGTGAGACGAGCCTTTGTTCTTTTTGGTCAGCAATGGCTTTTGCATTGGAGCTCACCCATGGATCCCGGTTTTGCCCAGTCTCTTTCTTCTTGTTGAATCATGAACACTGACCTTAACTGAGGCAAGTGAGGCCTGCAGTTCTTTAGCCTAAGTAACCTAATGTTAGTGTAATCTGTTAATAACGCACATCATAAACACATCTTTTTAGGCAAGTACCATATAATGGGTGTCATGTAATGAAATGTTTTTAATATATGACAGAAACTGTATTTAAATTGATCATAATCTATTAAAAACAATGTAAGTTAGGCCTATTAATTGTAATGATTTCATTTCCACGGTTATTCAAGCAACGAATAAATTATATAGAGAAAGCAAGCAAATAACACAGTATTAACTGAACTTTTTGAAACTCTGAATCAGTTAAACCATAAAGTCGCAAAATGATTCGAAGCGTTTCAATCGTATCGCGAATCATTTGATTCAGAATGGCCTCAAAGCGTGTATCGCGAATCATTTGATTTAGATTTAGGGACCTCGGAGCGAGATCACAGGATGTTTTACATAAACCAGAGGGGGAAATATATGAAGAGTTTGGTTCCAAAACGCGCTAAAATTATTATTTTTTTTAATTGAGTTTCCGCCAAAATCAGTATTGTATCTGGTCGGTATTGAAAAGTCAATTTTTCATTTTACTCAAAATGCGATATCCGCCGAGTTATTCTGTCATGTTTTCTCCCTTTCTTTCAAAAGTCTCCCTTCTCTGCAGAATGCAATATATCCGCTCAACCAATCACAGCGCACCATTCCATGCACTGTGAACAGTAACAACCAATCACAGTGCACCATTCCACGCACTCTAGACAGTAATGGCGGTGCTTTGAATACACCCGACATCCTAGTTTTCCTCATCTACTTTGTACTTTGTGATCAACAAACAAACGTAGGGCTGCACGATTGTCATGCGCATCTTGTCAGTAAAGCCGGTTCTGTGATTAATAATAAATCTCCATCACGTGCTTTCAGATGGATACACAGAGTCGTAGATCACTGACAAGCTATGCAATATTGGTTCATGTTGCATACGCAGCCAATGAGCTTGCTACTTTACATTTAAATGGCTGGTTAGCATTCACTTGAGCATTTGCAGCATGCTTTCAGAGTTCTCTGAAACCCACCACCTTCCCCAGCTCCACATGTATAGATCTGCTACGGGTTATTTTATATGCTATTTGTGCAGCAGCAGTATGTCTTAAATACTCACAGCACTGTATCGCCGTATGCACTTGAAGCAGCAGCAATAATCTACAACTACAGCAATAACTAACAGCAGCACCAGCGTAGCAGATCTATTCCGCCAAGACCAAATACATTAACATTGTCATAACTAGGGATGCACCGATACTGATACTGGTATCGGTATTGGGCCCGATACTGGTCTCCTGTATTCGTACTCATTAAAATGCCCCGATACCAAACGCTGATACCACACAGCATGTGATAAGCACCATATTCAAACAAAGAAACACCGACAACAGAACAACAGACAGCAGAAAGGAGTTAAGGGTGTCTACTACGAAGTATATGTATGCAATGAATATAATGTTAAACATTCAGTATTAACGCCTGTATAGCTGATGTGAGCCAGCTGATAAACAAAGCACGCTGAGTAGATTGAGCGCACGGTGGCGCAGATGCGCAAGCTTGTCGAGTGAATATATCTTTCTCACAGACATCACTGGAAAGTTTGTAGTTCGGTCGGATATGTCAAAAACAAGTAAGTAAATCAATGCACAAGTTACTTAACGGTAGTGAGAGAGAGAGAGCGAGAGAGAGGGAGAGAGAGCGCGCGCGCACTTCTGTTGTGTGATCTTTGATGTTCACTCACACGCATCATTTGAATTAAAACTAAATCGTAAAAATAAAACCATTTATAGGGGCATTCACTATAAACATAACTTATTTTCAA